TGCCTGGGAACCTTCGTAGCCCACAACCAACTTTATACCCCTCCCCCATTTATTACAGTAGTGCCTATCGCTACTCCCCCCCACTTTCTCTCTTCTCTCTCTCTCTCTCTTCGGCTTCGTACACTGCATGGTTCTCATGCAACCCTCCCTATCTTAATCGATGCCACCAAATTAATTACTTAACTTTCCAAATTATATCTTCAGTGTTTTGTAATAAGCAATTCGAAATTTCCGTCGTTTCTGCTGCCAAACTGTCACTAATTATCGCCCTAACGTCTTCACCCTTGCTTTAATCCTTACCAGAAGGACGAGCGGGCATTGCCTGGGAACATTCTAACTATGTGATGCTCTTTCTCCCCCACCCCTCTCAGTGTAACGGTCCAAATTACATCTTCTGCTGAGGTGATTTATTACTTTATTGATCTGAATTTCTTTTAAGTATTCGTTTCAAAATTTCAACTTTTTGTGGTGTTTGGAGTGTAATACTGGGATGAATACTTCCATTTCATGACATCTACCGAACTGTTTAGGACAAAGACGTGCGAGGACCTTCGGTTACTGGGAGTCTTGTTTTTTACACTAAAGGACGATAAATTGCCGCACCAGGGCTTTTCAGAGAGTGCACGTCAGGGACAGAGTCCGGTTCTGCAAGGCATCTGGTGGGGATAATTTTGAAGAAAAAAATTCAAAATTTTGAAAATTTTAGTAAAATTGAAATATGCAGGAAATTAACCAAAACGCGCACAAACCATAAAATTTTTGAAAAATTCCACTTTCAAAATGTTTTCAAATGTTTCAAAGAAATTTGGTTTTTTGAGCGTTTCAGACATTTTCCAGCATTTTTTGATTTTTCGAAAATTTTGGAAATTTTCAACTTTTTTCAAAACTCTCCCCAAGAGATGCATGCCAGCCTCGGTGAATGCCACATCCTGTCTCTGACGGACTCGGCCTCTATATCGCCCGGTTGCTGACTGCCTCGGTGTTCTGCACCAACCGGCCTCTGCAGGACTCTGGTCTCTGCAAGACCGCGTCTCTGTCCGTCTCGGTCTCTGCCTTACGTGGTGTCTGCCGCACCTGGGCTTTTCAGAGACTGCACGTCAGGGGCCGTGTGAGTACAGCTTAAAGAATTGCTTATTTTAAACAAAAGATAAATGTTTAGCATGAAAATATTAAAAGGTTACACAGAATACATTAGTATATAGTGGACTATATAAGTACAATAAACCCTCAAAAGTTCGAGTCCCCAATAAACTATAGAAAATTACCAACAGAATAAAATACATGTATATTTATTTATATTTTTAATGCTACTTTAAATATCTCGTTTCAATCTGAAATAAATTTAAAAGTAGGTGGTAGACTGTAAACACTTTCAAGTCATTTACGATGAGGGTCACTAATAAAAATATATTTTTACAAGAAAGGTAGATTTTATTATTTCTTAAACAGGCCTCTACACGAATTTTCGTATTTTCTTACAGATCGTGAATCTCTCAGAAGTGTCCGATTTGGGCACCGCCAGTCATATGCACCAGTGTTCTCAGTCTAAGATAACCTCCTTGATAAGGTCACGCAGGTGACGCTAACCACGACATTGACTATCCTTACAGGATTTTCAATATTTTCATCGTTCTTTTCAAGCGAATGACGTGGTTCTGAAAAATATTAAAATACCCTAAATATACTGTTTTTTTTCGTACAAATACTAATTCTATTTGATGAAAGCATGCTGCTAGTTTGCCGTTACCATTTATAAACAAAACGTTTACCGTATCACTTCTAGATGGCAGCACCATGTTCATCGAAATAGTTCTACTCACTTAAATCTTTTCCGCCAGTTGTGTTGCTCTGTGCCTGTGCGTCTGCCGAGAGTGAAAGAGAAATAGTGCACATATTGGGTTGTTTTATATTTTATTTATTATCTTGTGCATATGCTTTTTATAATACAAATTAAAAGTGATGTGCGTGGTGTGTGCATATATTTTATGTAAAATATGACAATGAAACGAAAGACATTGGTGGGGGTGGGTGTCGTATTTGAAGTAGGCTGAATAGTCTAAGCTACTGTATTTCATTGTTTTGCCTTTTCGACAAACAATTACAGATATTTATTCACGCAAATTTGTGTGTAATGTAAGAGGAAAGGCGTGCGAATGTGTTCATTGTAGTTTTACTTCCTTCGCTCAGTCTTATCTCGCCACAGGTATGATCTTGGAGAGGTTTAAGGTTAGGTTATCTGTGTAGATACTGTCATTGATGCTCCGACTAGTACAGCAGGCCTTTTATTTGAAGACTGGAGGACCAGACATTTTTAACTGTCCATGACTGTTTATTCAACACAGTTGCAACTAGTCTTCATATTTAGAGGCCATCTTTATTTCGAACCAAAGACTGCACTATGGAGTGGTGACAAGGGACTCACTTAAATGCTATAAGGAATTGTTAGTCTTTGACACGTAGAGAAAAAAAATATTCTTTCCATAGTTACGTGCATGAGTTATCACACCTGAAGTAATAATTTTATTTGATATTTGTTTCAGCATGATTAAGCTGGTTCCATCCATGTGGTTCATTTATGATGTCCTCAGCCTGCCCATAGGTTTCTTTCATTTTCGTTTCAGTTCCAAGACCATTCTGGATAAGACAAAACAAAATACTGGGACCTTGCGAGATGCATCTCAAAGAATCGTTAAATAACAGAATAATATTGGGGTTCTTATGATATTAAAGATGTCTTGGGTGGTCTTTATGATGCCGTGTGGACTTGTAGGTGAGTACCATGTTTTGGAACAACCTACTGCCCCCATCTTCGAAGGATGATGGTGATGACAGGATGTTCCTATGAATCATTGGTTCCCACCTACAAATCCTCATAAAATCATAACCTTGAAGGCCTCCATTAACAACAAATTAATTACGTGGCTATTTATTGGTTTATTATATAATTCAAGGTCTTGGATATAAGGAAGCCTCTTACATTAGCAGTACAGTGATAAGTTTTGACCATGTGTATTTATTACTTGTCATGTATGTGCAGATCTGTGTACCAAGAATCTGTTTTTATGTTGTTTTTTCTTTCTTTTAAATGAAAGTGGATGTATTTGGTTGGTTTATAAAGACTTTGATGTCATTTTAATACACAAAATTTTGATAGAGCACTACTTTTATTGTATTGATGTTCTCAGTTTTTCGTATTAGTGCAAATTCACACTAATGAACATTTTTCTGAAGTCAGTGATCTTTGTTATAATAAGTTTTGTAACCAATTTTTCCACAGCTGCATGAGCATGGTGCATATCTGGTGGATTCCCTCATTGAAATCAAATGAGATGATGAAAGATTGGGAGTGTATGACAGACTTGCTGCTAGAGGAACCAGGACCGTCAGAAGAAGCATTGGATGGCTGAGAGGAAACCAGTCTCATAGAGATCATGGTGTGTTGTATTCACCAGGCTGGTACAGGAGAGCCGCCACTTGGTCGAGGACCTACACATAAGGTAAGGCAGTGATTGGGACTCACTTTGATGTTGGATTCTAAGTTTCATTACTACTTTAAATATCGTAATGATATGGACATCTGAGACTCAATTATTATGAAACTCACAGAAAATCTCAGGTTCTTATTAATTTGGCCCCGTGAAGTAAATGTCAAAGGTAAACACAAAAATACTTTATTTGCTTAATTTTTGTTAATATAAAATATTCTTAGTTAATATAAAACACATTATGCACAAACTGAATCCTGGCTCGCTCTTGCTTCTGGACCATCCATTTTGAAATATCCATTGAAAAACCTAGTAAACTGACTTACTTTCTTGATACGTTTGTGAAAAGTAGTTATGGCGAAATCGGAATGTTCCTTATAGTAAACATGAGTTGTTATATCATGTCGATTAATAGCAGGAGTTACAGTCAAATATGAAAAGAGGATTGGCAGCATTAGAAAGGAATTACAGATGTGTTCTCTGTAATCGCATTTTAATAATCTGAATACGATATTTGTTTGATGCCCACTCAAATTCCTTTGTCCTCTTCCACCCATATTTAAATTTAATTTATCGATGATTTGGTGTTGAAGTCAGTACCTGCAATAACGTGATACATGAATTGTTCGGAAGTACAGCATTTTATTAACCTGTCTGAGGTTTCGAAAAAGTTTTCTTGCATCTCTCACTTGCACTGACGAATGTGAATGCATGGAATTGATTTTCCCCTCCAAACAAGATTAATTTGTTGCAGACGTAGGTAGTTTGTGGCTCCATAAAAAGTAAAAAAAATTTGGGCTCGTGTTAAAGTACAATCAAACAGACGCAAAAGAATTAAGATGTCCGTGTTCTGGGCTGTAGCACTGTGTAGTCTGGTAGAAGTTTACCATTGTTTGATAGGTACTTGCTGTGTACATAATCAGGGTGATTGACCTCTTCTCCTGCCACATGGACTCTTGAAAAGGATGTAGTTATTTTGTATCGAAAAATTTAGGAATTTCATTGTTTTAACTTTATAATTGATAAAATTTTATTAAAGTTGTAACTCTCTAAATAGTTGTATTTGTGTGACGTGCCTCTAAACTCAGCTGTCTGTGAATTCCTCGTTAATTTAACCCTTTGAAGTCGAAGCTCGTCTTCATAATATTTACGAATCCAGACCGTACCGCGAAGAAAACACTTCACTTAACCATTAGAAGTCGAATCAGGCGGTACCACATAAGATTTAACAAAAGAACATCCCGGTCAAAGCCTTAAACAATCTGAAAGTGTATTTATAACAATAGTTACAATTTTGAATAGTTATTACTGTAAATTTTTGTATGAACATTCCAACTTTCAATGTAGGCATGTATTGATGCATTTGTCTCATACTTTGAGTGGTGACATCATCAAACATGAATTCATCTCAAATCTGGCTTAAAAATTAAAAGGTTTCTATTTAAAGGAAAGGAATGTAACCTTAATAACATCTTAAGAGCACTTCCATAATTAATATTTTATTGATTAATGTATACCCCATTGGACACTGTGTCACATTTTATTTGAAAATTTTTCCTGTACGTGTTAAAATTAGATAAATATTTGAAGTTTCAAAGTTAGGTGAGACACTCTGTGTACTGTATGTACATAAATAAATATATACATACACACTTAATCACACGCATGCACACGGACACGTACGTTTGATCTCAGGGCGTGTTTTTTGTAGGAGTGAATCAGTAGGAGAAAATTGGGCATTTTATTTTTGTCTGTAGGCAAGGAAAGTGGGGGCTCGGCAATGTGAGAATGAATCAAAAGAGTACAAGTTAGTGGCTGAATTAAGGATGTGGTTAAAGGATGCCAAAAGAAGGTTGGAACAAGCAGATGGAGGTAGTACCTATTCTTTATAGCGCTGTAATCGTTTGCCGAGTTCAAAACATACGACACTGTTCTTCAATGTATGCCATTTTGTAGGCTTTCGAGGAGGAGTTTTAAAAGAAAGGGAAAAGAGATTGCAAGACTGAATGAGAAATGTACAGAACTTCAGAGATTGAAAATTGGTTGTGGTGATACTGAGCGTACAGTTACAAAAATAAACGATGTACGTGGACAGTTTCAACATTTCCAGAAAGACTCTAAGGAGAAGATTGTTCATGACGGCAAAGTGTCTACTTGTGGAAATTCTGTTGGAGATTTTGTTTATTTATTTAAATGTCTGTGTGTAGCATCTCATAATTAAATGCTCTATTATCTGTTTTTGTCCAGTTTCGACTCCAAATATTATTCTTAAGATTCATCTTAGAGGGTAGTGTAACGCATGTTTTTACAGCTGTTGAATAAGTGATTGTTTCTGACATTCATCGACTCTTAGTCTTTTGGAAAAATAGATCGAATGATCAGAAAGGTTTAAAGCATTCTGCTGTATAGGATATACGTAGTTCCATAGTATTCCACCAGGTGTGGTGGGGTAGTCCAAATATGTATAAAGTGAGACTTTCATGGCGACTGATGTTGATGAAAGACTCCTGGGTTTCAAGCCATATCTTCTGGCTTTTCATCGACTCTAGTCCGAATATGTTGAATATGGACCCATGGACTGGCTTGGAGCACGGTTCAAGGTTACTATGAGATAAATCGAAACTTAAAATTTTTGAGCACCAGCACAAATGAGGAAGATAGGGAAAGCACCCAAATTTTAGTCATGAAACATGAAGGAAAAACCCTTTTTAAGGAGAACAGGTATAGATGGGATGTTACTTGAAATGGATCACAGACAATAGGTTGTATTGGATTGGATTGAACTCGTAAAAGGCGTATAATTTATTGACCTGTTGAGTGACTGCCATCTTCTCGATCCACTTGGTTAAATATTTATATTCATTATTTTATTTTGCAATCTAGAGATAGTTAGGGATCTCAAGCAATTGCCTAATATGAATTTTGTTTCGTTTGTTAGGATATTGGAGGAGATCGCGCAGCAGAATTTGTAACGAGGGTCAGTAAAATCAGAGAAGCTGCTTCGACTGTACCAAGGCAGCTAAGTTCCCTTCCGCTTAAACAGTCACAACCGTGTGTAGAAAGATACGACATACTTTTCCTCTGTTACGTGCCTGCAATTGGAAATTTTCCAGTGTAGTCTCAGAGTTTAGCAGTTATTTGTTTAGTCTT